CACAACACCCCCCCCCCTCCCTGCCTCCCTCCCTCTACCTGTGGGTCCCCATTAAGTTGACCGAGGACCGCGAGAGTTGCCACGGGGTCAGTGGCGGAGAGAAGAGAACCGAACATGAGACTCTGTAGTCTGACTCACTCAAAGACGGAGAGGAGAAGGAGCAGGAGCAGGAGCAGCAGCAGGAGCAGCAGCAGGAGCAGGAGCAGGAGCAGCAGGAGCAGGAGAAGGAGCAGGAGCAGGAGCAGGAGCAGGAGCAGGAGCAGAGGAGCGCATGGCGTTACCTCCTTGGGGCTACTCGCGTTTATGCCCGTCACTGACCCCTTGCTTGCAAGCTGAAAGAGCGTCATGCCTGTAAGATCGTTAAAGAAGAAGAAGCAGGAGAGAGGAGGAGAGAGGAGGAGGAAAGAGGAGGAAGACCGGTGACGATGGAGGAGATGACGGTGCCTACGACGGCATAGAGCTGCAAGAGAAGTGAGAAGAAAGAGAGAGGGAGAGATGAAAACAAGAGCTGACAATGATGGCAGTGAAGTTACGGAAAAAGTCCTTCTGATTTAGAGAATATCCTGACTCTGAGAAACGTTTCAGCAAGCGAGCAGACCCCCTCCCACCTCTCCTTCCTCCCTTCTCATTCTTCATCGTCCTCTCCCTCCCCTTCATCAGGATCACCGTAGAGGATGGAAGGAACGAGGTAGAGGAAGAAGACTGTATCGAAGTCCTGCAAGTCAAGTCTTTAGTCTCGACTTTTCGTGTCTTCCTCCCGCTAACTACTCTCCCACCTCTTGATACCCTCACTCCTCTTCCTCCTCACCCTCCCACTCTCTCGCTCCTCGCTCTGACCTTTCCTGGTCGGGTTGTGTTCGTGGACGAACCCGAAATGGTGCAGAGTGGCACAGACGCGATGAAGCCAATAACGATGGCGAGTACGCTAGAGGGACGAGAAGAAGGGAGTCAGAGAGAAAGGAGGGAGCAGGGAGCAGGGAGCAGGGAGGAGGGTGCTTGCACCTGTCCGAAGAGAACCAGTATGAAGTGTTGAAACGCTGGAGCAAGTTGGCGAAGAGCGTGCAGGCAAGTACCTGAGCAACATCAGCAGCAGCAGCGTCAGGGAGGGAGAGCCTCACCAGGCCGACCACACCAGCCGCTTGGTTGCTTGCCTGAGCGTTGATGACCTCCTCAGCCATGATTGGAGAAAGCATGCTGATATCGGTTGAGAGCCTCCGAGAGCGACAGAAGAGGAGACAGCGGACGTCAGAAGAGCGAGCGAGGCAGAGAGTACTAGCACAAACTTACAACAATGGCCGAAGGGATCTACACACTTACAGTCTTTGTCATTTCCGCATAACACTCATGTGATCGCTCATGCTTCTTGTTTTCATCCTCGCAGTAGGATCCCCAACATGCTGCGGGGAAAGTCAAACTAAATATTTCTTTCCTTCTCCTCTCCACTCGAACTTGGACCATTCGAACCATTCCATTCATTTGTTACTTTGCAGGCCATGGCAAGCTCAATCCAGTCTCCCTCTCTCTCCTCCCTCTCTCCTTCCTCTCTCCTCCCTCTGTCTCTTCCCTCGCTCTCCTCCTCCTCTCCTCTCTCCCTCGCTACGCCTCATTCTTTTCCTCTCCATGATTCGGTGCTTCATGACCTGTACCCAACTTTTTCACTCACTTCACAACCCCGACACAATGACAACCCACCCTATAAATGAGCGGATATTTCAAGTCAAAGTACCCGTACTATATGACCCCTTATCCTTCACCACCCCTGCCCCAACTCTTGAAACTTTACCCCTCATCCCCGGACATCTCAGTCATCTCGCCTGAGGCGGGTGGGGAAGGCTGGTCAGGAAAAGGGGTGGGGGTCAGAATCGATATTAGAATAGAGGGGGTACATTGAGCTGATATGGTGGGTAGTGGTACTTGAAAAATGACGGGTGGGTGGATCAAGAATAGATCGGGGAAGGGACAAACTCAGCAGGGCGACCGAGCAGGAGTAGGAGAAGGAGAAGAAGGAGCAGGAGAAGGAGAAGGAGAAGGAGAAGGAGGAAAGAGGTTGTGTCTATCAGAAGAACTTTCGTTCCTCGTGTATCATAAGACAGGAAGGTCAATCATGTTCGAACTTCTCGTTAAAATCACCGACCTCCACTCCGCCATGGAACCCGCGCAGACGATGGGTCTCAATCTGACAGGAGAGAAGAACGAGGTCTACGACAGGTATTTCTCTTCCTTCCCTTCTTCGTCTTGTGATCCTGCTGTAGCATGCCGACCGGCGGGGCCCCGTGGGCTGAGCATGGATATGACATGCGTGCAACAGATGTAGGGCGCTGTTCATATGCTCACTTGACGATCACACGTGTCACCAAACATCCAGTCGAACTTTTGCTTAATCCCTTCATCCGCATGCATCACCCTCCTCATTCACTTTGTTTCCATCATTGTACTGATCCCCTCCCACCACTCATCTCCTCCACCTGGCGCTGACCCCCAGTAGGCTGCAGGACTAGCAGCAGAAGGAGGAGCTAACGGACCCTTCGCGTGCGACAACGACGGGTTCAAGTGCTTCATCTTCAATCGTCAAGCCTTCGACAACGGCGGTGATGCTGCCGTTGATATTCGCTCCCAAGTCTGATGCTGCTGCAGTCGTGGGCGACACTGACAGCATCTACACCAACTTTGGTAGGACGAAAGGAGGAGACGCGCTTTATTCTCATGCATCTTATTCGATGTTGCAGGCACAGGGGCTGAGATCGCACATACGCGGGTCCCTCCCGACGGAAAACTCGGAGGAGGAGGAGGAGAAGGAGGAGGAGCTTCAGCACGTGCGAAGCCTTTATGCAGCCTTGGCGAGGTGAGAGAGGATAAGAAGTTGATGGAGGATGACGCTTGACGCTCAGGACTGTAACGGTCTGGGATGATGCTGAGAAACAGCCATTTGGTGTGAGGAGATGTTACGAGATAACAATTGAGATAATAGTTGAGACGATTGCAACCATGTCAAATAATTTTACACTGGGAACCGAACAAGCACTCGATGTCGCACACCGGGGGAAGGATGCAAATCTCCTGCTCCTGAAGGAAGAAGACCATCAGACAGTGACAGAAGAGAGAGCAAGAGAGCAGAAAGGAAGAATCAATGCGAGAGCAAGAGTGGAGGAGGGTGGAGGAGATCGGCAAGAGCAAGATGGGAGGAGACTGACCGGCTGGAGGACGTCGTTGACTTTGAGCTCGGGGTTTAGCGCTTCCAACCGGCTCCTAGTCATGAGGAACTTGTCGGCTAGGCGGTCGATGTAGTCGCCAGGTCGCACCCGGTAGGTGACCCCGATGCTGAGGTCAGCATAGGCGCTCGGAATGTCGTCGGGGTTTGTGAGGTGAGGGTTTGACATGTAGAGCTGCAGCCAGTCAGTCCCGTAGAGCTTCCCCACATCCTGCAGCGTCTCTCCATCTCGCAAGCAGTGCCGGCACTTGAGCACGCGGAGTTGGAAGCAGCGGCGAGAGGCGCTGATGGGGATGGTGGACTGAGCGACAAGGCATAGGGAGGCGGCGAAGTCTTGGAGGGAGGGCGTCCAGTCGATCTGAAACTTGTCTGCCACCCTCGTGATGCGGAAGTTGCTCGGGGCCCGGGTGTAGGGGTCCACCACTATGCTGACAAGGCTCTGCGAGCAATCGGCGCATGGCAGGAGGTAGCGAGCGTTGAGGTAGACCGGGCTTGCGCAGCTGCTTCCAGTCGCCCGGAAGCGGATCACAGCACCTTCGGCATATCGCCCGCCAGCCTCGTAGTCCTGGGGGACACAGTCGGAGCTGGAGGAGGGGCAGCCGAAGAGAACCATGTTGGGAGAGATGCCGATGGAGAAGCAGCGGTCCACAAGCGAGGCAGGCAGGCAGGCTCCTCCCTGCCCGCAGGTTCCCTCTGGTCTCGTGGCGATCGCGTCGCCCACGTAGGCCTCGTACGCTGCCTGGCTGCCCGAAGAGGGGTAGGAGGTGGCTCGCATGCAGATCTTGTACGACTGCCCTCGGTCGACCTCCCTCGCCTTGAACGAGAACGTCTGGTTCCATAACGTGTAGCCCGATCGCTGAAAGCTGCTTGCGCCTGCGTGCACGAGGCTACCTGAGGCAGGCCGCTGACTGTAGTCGGCATAGTCGATCTTGACTCGGTCGTCCACGTTGCGATCGAAAGCATAGAAGTTGATGTTGACCGTCTCTCCGACCGTGAGGTTGAAGACTCGGTTCGGGATGGCGCAGTCCTTCAGATCCTGGCTAAGAGGAAACAGATCGCCAACACAGGCCCATTCCGGAGCAGCTTCGAAGACGTACATGCTTTCGTACTTCAAGATGGCGGAGAGGGGAGGGTAGCAGACTTGGTTGGTGTAGGCAATCGATATCTTCCATCCTCGGCCGGACGGAACGCTCCAAGTCTTACTGAGGTATGAGAACTTGGGAGCAGTACGGTTGCACAAGTTGAGACCGGGAAGAAAGGGGCCAAGGCAGAAATTCCAAGTTACAGCCATGCAGTTGCTGTCGAAGCATCCCAACGCAGCGTCGTTGGGATACGTTTGAACAGAGACATCGGATATGGCCATCTGATTGTAGACCAGGAACTCTTTCTGAATCACCTTGTCGTTGGTGTTCGCATCCACAAACACCATCGCTGCTGGGGTCGCATCGTCGATTATCCCGAGGTCTGTCTGAAGCCTCCAGGCGTCCAACGGTAGCCCTGTGAAGGCTCTATAATTGACTCGGTCGACGGTCAAGGCCCCTGAGGACCTGGCAACAGCGACAGGCGCTCGGTCGAGGTACGTCTGATTCATCGGGTCCTGCCCATGTGCAGGCGGCACGAGCTGCACAGCAGAGGCAGCAGTGACCCCGGAGGACTGAAGCTGAAGAGGGGGAGAGCTGGAGATGCTCGCGAGGTCAGATACGTTGAGCAAGAGACCCTGCGAGGAGACGGGACAGCTCGTGGAGCTCTCGTACAAGTCTCGGGTGTTGAGCGCGACATCGCGGTAGATCCGAATCTCGTCAAGGTCCACGTTCGCATAGATCTTGCTGGACCCGCTGCCGGCGCCCACCTGGAAGAGGGCAAACGGCTCGAGGGCGAGGGGACGAGAGTAGCTGAACATCCAGTCAGACACTCGTCCTATCGGGGAAGTGAAACATCTCACCTTGCGCTGCTCGACATGGTCTCGATCGCCCACTGCGATGCGCTGCTGCTTCTCGCGTACAGATAGAGGGTGACGGTGCTGCCGCCGGTCACTTCTATGCGACCAGTCAGCAGCCACCAGTCTGACTTCGCCTGATTGATGTTGGTGCAAACTTGCTCGAGCTTTGACGAGCTCGCGCTTTCGCTCAGAAACGCCTGGAGGCAGAAGGAGCTACTGCCGCTCGCTCCCGTCCAGCTGTACGACAGTTGGTAACCCTTACTGGTGCTGTTCTTCATGTTGCCCATGATGGGGATGTATGCAGTGCCAGTGGAAGAGGAGGGGCTTGAGAAGCGCGAATCAACCACGCGGACGAAAGATTGTAGCTGAGAAAGAGGAGAAGATCAAACGAGGAGCCGCAAACCAAAGCAGATGGAAAGTCACCGTCAAAGAAGAAAAAGAATGTAGAGAGGAAGAATTCACGCTCATAAAGGAGCTCGAGGATTCTCTGAAGACGAGATATTTTCCTGCTCGCGTGTTGTCGAATCTGCAAGCACACACATCAGCATCGAGGAACAAGTAAGTAATCGAGCATACCCGATCGCTTCAACGATCAGGAGGGAGAAGAGACCTCCCAGCAGGAAGCCTCTCATCCTCCTCAACTCGATCGCAAACCTTGTCGCCCTCACTGATTGCTCATCACGTTTGCCTGCTCACTGCGAAGACTTGAAGTCATCAACACTCATGTATCAACACTCATGTATCAACACTCATGTACACAAGTTTCAATGCTGGAGTGTCTTTGCTACCATGGCAGCATAGTCGCCACGGGTGACAAGAAAGAGCAGCCCGTGCGTTCTCATCACCCTGGAAGCTCTCTTGAGCCTGATCCCCTCACACGCACTATTGTCGTCGTCATGCCTGCCTCTCTGCCTCTCTGCCCCTCGCCCCTCTGCCCTCTTCGCGTGTCCTTCCTCGCCCTCTCATTCGGTTTGCATATTGCGTTCATATCTGAGGTCATTTCTTTCGCTCGTTTCCTCTTTCACCTCCGTTTACTCCTTACCCTCTCCCTTTCCGCTTTTCCTCTTGACTCTACTCCTATTTAAATCTTTCTTTCTTCCCTTCATGCTCTTCTCCTGCGAATCTTGTTCTTCCGATTCATCCTCCTATCCCACTCTCTCTCCTCCCTTTCTCTCTTCTCTTCCCTTCCCCTCCCCTCCTTCTCTTCCCTTCCCTTCTCTCTTCTCTCTTCTCTCTTCTCTCTCTCCTCCTCTTGTCTCCTCTCTCCTCTGCTGTTCCTTGCAGAACTCTGCTCTGCCATCAGTTCATGCCCTTTCGTACGAAGAAGTGAGAGGGGTGGGTATTTGCGATAAGGAGGGTCCAAGAAATCGGGGGGTTGTATTCTCCCCTAGTCCATCCAGAAGGATTGGAGTAAATGTGAGGGGTAGGGTTAAGGGCTGGACTTGCTGGATTGGGTAGGTAGTCGAACGGAAAGAGTGGGGGTAGTGGTCATGTGGTTTGACACAAGCTTGAGGAAATTGGATTGAATATAGAAAAAGTAGGACAATGGAAGGACAGTGGGCGGAGACTAGAGACTTCACTTAATCAGACAAGCTTCGAAGCTTTGGTTGAGCTGCTGGCGATCAAGATTCTTGCCGATGAAGACGAGCTTGTTCATCTGCTGCGCTCTCAGATCCTCCTCTCCTCTCCTCTCCTCTCCTCTCCTCTCCCCTCCCCTCCCCTCCCCTCCTCTCCCCTCCCCTCCTCCCTTCACTCACGCGAACTTCATCCTTTCCCCAAGGCGAATGTGGTTCTCCTTGAAACATCATATGCACACCCTACGGGAAGTGAGGGAGGAGGGGAGAGGAGAGGAGGAGAGGGGAACCTGGAACACAAACTTGGAGTCCATACCCTGCAAGGGCGTTAGACGAACTGCTCGGGCAAGCAGGAGGGTTCTTCACCTTGATAGATAGAACGCCTTTAGATCGATAGATGTCTTGTCCCTTCTCCTTCAGCAACGAGCTGCCACTAGTTCACACCCCTCCTCCCTCTCTCTTTTCTGCCGCTGTTGCTGCTGCTCCTCCTCCTCCTCTTTCTCCTCCTCCTCCTAGCCATCACCTGATCCATCCGTTGGTCTTGTCCAGGTCGAGCTCCCCCTGCACGCTCACTCACTCACTCACTCACTCGTGAACCGGGCCGTTACCTCTCGCATGATCCCAACGCTCGTCACAGCCGAGTCGTGCATGTGCTCCTGCAGCACGTGAGACACGCGCCTGATGCATCGCCTGACAAGCAAGGAGACGGCACGGGTAGAGGACGAGGACGAGGACGAGGAGGAGGAGGAGGAGGAGGAGGAGGATAGAGGAGCAGCAGTAGCGCACATGGTCACTAAGGAAGTCTGGCTCCATCTTCATGATGCGCTGCCCTCATGTCAGCATCTCATGCCACGTCAGCATCGAACCTCGAGGTCAAAGGCTCCGATGCCCAGGATCTTGTCGACGGGCTGAGAGAGCCAGTAAGCGACGAGGAGGCGGAGGGAGCTAAGGGATCAGCAGCAGCAGCAGCAGCGACAAGGGAGGAGGAGCATACCACTTGCGCCATCTGGCAGGGAATGATCTCGGACATGCGATTGAGCTGACGAAGTCGCTGCTGGACCTGGAGGAGGATGAGGAGGCGAGGCAGCGGGGAGGGAGCGACCCTCCACCTCTCGGAGCTGCTCTTCGGAAACCAGGTCGATCTTGTTGAGGAGGATCTTGTCAGCAAAGACAACCTGAGCACAAGGTTACGCGCTCCTCCCCTCAAGCCCTCGACCTGCTCGATCGACTCGTTCTCGACCCCCTCCGGCTTCTCCTCGTCGAGATGCTGGAGGATGTGCTGCTTCCTGTCACCTCCTCGCTCAAGCAACAAGCGTCACCTTAGCGTCCACCACTGTCAGCACAGCATCGACTTTTGCTTGAGCCTTGCGATGACATCAGACCCGACCAACTGCGAGAACAGCAGAAAGAGGGACGAGGAAGACAAGAGGAGGAGGAGGAGGAGGAGGAGGAGGAGGAGGAGGAGGAGGAGGAGGAGGAGGAGGATGGTAACAAGAGCGAGAGCGAGCACGAGGACAAGGAGGGATTTTGAATTGCAGCACACACCCTGATACTTTCATCCATGAAGAAAGTTTGAATCACGGGCGCTGGGTCAGCCACTCCTGGAGGCGGATGATGTCAGAGAGGGAGAGCCCCAGGAGGGGGAAGGGTGAGGAGGAAGAGAGGTGGACGAGGAGAGCAGAACGGTGGAGAAAAACCTGTAGTCTCGATCAAGATAGCGTCGAGCCTGGTCTTTCGTTTCAAGATCTTGCTCAAGATCCGTATGAGGTCACCTCTGAAGCAAAATCTTACTCCTCCTTCTCTCTTCTCCCCGCCCTCTCCGTCTACCTCACAGTGCAGCAGATACACCCGTTGTTCATCTCGAAGATCTCCTCCTGGGTCTCAAACCGCTGCTTCACCAGGCTGTCGTCGATGCCGACCTGCCGTCCCTCCCTCAGCTGAGAAAGGGATCATTCTCACATCTCCTGCCGCCATCACCTCGCCGAACTCGTTCTCGATGACCGCGACCTTGAGGCCATGCGCTCCGGTCAGGATGTGATTCAGCAGCGTCGTCTTGCCCGCTCCGAGAAAGCCCGTCAGAATTGTGACGGGGACGTGGCCTGACAGGAGCATCAGACCCGCCCAAGGGACCACAGCGACTTCTGTATTAGCCTGAAATTTACTGCCCTATGATGATGAGTAAAGCAGGACGATGCGACTCGAGAAGGAAATGAGACTGGAGGAGGAGGAGGAGGAGGAGGAGGAGGAGCAGCAGCAGCAGCAGCAGCAGCAGCAGCAGCAGCAGCAGCAGCAGCAGGGGCGACACAAGAGAAGGATAGAAGAACAGAAGGAAAGAGAACAAAGAAGAGAGGAGAAGACCGGGGGTAGGAGAGGAGAGGAAGAAACGATGAACGGAAGGAAGGAAGAAATGAACGGGGTCAGGGTGTTGGAACAAGTAAGGAAAGGCAGGGAAGGAGAAGAAAGAAGAGAGCAGAGCAGAGCAGAGCAGAGCAGAGCAGAGCAGAGCAGAGCAGGACAGTAAGGATGAGACAAGTTCACCTGCTTTCAAATGTTTGACGTTCTAGTGACCTTATGTCTCGCCCCCTCCTCTCCTCCTCTCTCACTCTCCTGCACAGATGCTCCTCGAAGCCTCAGGAATTCATACCAACGTACCTCAAGAGCTTCTTGCCGGATGCTACATCTGCCCTCAAGTAAGTGCGGCTCTCCTTCTCCTCCACTGTCACCGTAGCCCTTTTCTGTTAGTTCCTCTTGCCTCCCTGCCTCACCTCCTTCCCTCTGCTAACCTTTCATGCAGTCTTCCTCCTTAGATGATTTTGTCGACTACAAAAAGTTGTGGAGCACGTTGATGGGTAACATAAAAGAAGAGGGAGGGAGGGAGGGCAAACAGGAAGACAGGAGGGAAACGGGGGGGGGGGGGGGGGAGGGGAGAGAGGAGAGAATTTGTGATTGAACTGTCAGATCTGGTGGAGGACCCTTGCTTCTCCTCCTCTATCTCTGCCTCACAACTAGCGCGGAGCTTCAAGCTCTCCAAGTTTGTGACGGGCAAGCGAGTTGCTCCGACCCGCCACTCCTCTGACCCTCTGACAGGGAACGAGGATGTCTGTTGCCTCCTCCATCCCTCCCTCAAACTCGTCACAGGTGAACAGGACACTCATCATCATCATCATCATCATCATCATCATCATCATCATCATCATCATCATCATCATCATCACCATCATCATCATCATCATCATCATCATCATCGTCATCATCATCATCATCATCATCATCATCATCATCATCATTTTCCTCCTCCTTTTCCTCCTCTTCCTCTCCTTGACTCTCTCACGCAGACCCTAGTGCTGGACGTAGCTGGACGGTAACTGAGGATCTTCCAGCTGGTGGGAGGAGGAGGAGGAGGAGGAGGAGGAGGAGGAGTGCAGCTGACAGTCCTCAGGCACCAGCGTGATGTTGGAGGAGGCTGCAATCAGCGTCCTCGATGCAGAGATTCAGCGAAAGTTCTCATGGTGGGATGCGGATGGAGCAGACACTTGCGCACTGTTCTGCTCGTGGATGCAGCAGGTGCTGGCTGAGGCTGAGGAGGAACGGAAACATCAAGCGATGGACATTGAAGGAACAAAAGAAGCCTTGAGGAGCAAGCTTGCGCGTATGACGAGGAGACTTCATCCCGTTAGCTCTGAACCTTCACCGGAGGCCGATTGGGAGGAGCTGCGGGAGAATTTACCGGAGGAAGGAAAGGAGCTGCTGAAGAGGATGAGGGAGGAGGAGCCTGCGGTCGACCTTCCTCGCACGTGGCATCAGCTGCAGCTGAATCAGATCGGCTGCTACTCCTTGACGGAGCATGTGGGAGGAGGATACGAGCGTGTATGGCGTTTCCTCACTTCCTCCTCCCTCCTCCCCCTCACCTCCGTCGGCTTCAACCACAGCTGCTCTCCCAACCTCCTCCGCCTCTGCATCGGTCCCATCGTTCTCTTTCGCTCCTCTCGCTCCATCCGAGCTGGCGAGCAGCTCACCATCTCGTACGTGGGTACCGACCAGCTGAGGTGGGCAAGGAAAGAAGTCGGAAGGAGAGGAGGCTGACCGGGAGTGAGGCAGGGAGCCGAGGGCAGTGCGGCTGTCGCAGGAGCGAGGAGGGTTGGGTGGAAGAGACTTCCTGTGCAGGTAGAGCATACTGCTGCCTCGTCCTCTAAATTGGCTCGAAGATGCAGCGTGTGCCTCAAGGAGGAGGAGGAGGAGGAGGAGGAGGCGCAAGAAATTGTGACCGAGCTCCCCGTCTCCCTTCGCGCTCAGATCTCGCTAGCAACAGCCGAGGAAAGAATCGAAATGATTGAGGTCGAAGAGGAGGAGGGGAGGGGAGGGGGAGGAGTAGAGTCGAATAACAAGGCGGCAAGCAGAGCATCTTGGATGGCAGCGCGTTCAAGGTAGAGGCTGAAGGCAGCGTGAACGAAGAGATCAAGGCGAGGGTGAGGCTACAGCATCGAGATGAGATGGAGCTCATGATACAGGTTGCTCCATTATGATATTCATCATCTCCTCCTCCTCCTTGTCCTGCTTCTTCTCCCTCTTCTTCCCCTTACTCCTCCTCCTCCTCCTCCTCCTCCTCTTCCTCTTCCTCCTCTTCCTCTTCCTCATCCTCTTTCTCCTCCTTTCCTTCTGGTGTCTTTCACCATTCACTTTCTTTTTCTTTTCTTCATCTCAGATGGGGCTAGCAGAACTTGAGCTCAAGCATTGGAGGAGAGCGACTGACACATTCTTGCGAGCGAGAGTGAGAGCAAAGAAGCGATGGCTGCCTGCTGACGCGAGGTAGAGGACGAGGAAGCAGAGGAGGAGCAGAAGCAGAAGGAGCTGGGGAAGAGACAAGGAGGGCCTGGGACTGACGAATGAAGCAGAGACGAGGTCTTTGTGAGCTTCTTACTGCTGAGCTTGGTGGGACGAGTGGCAGAGCAACTGGTGAGAGGGGGAGGAAGAGGAGGATCCGATGACGGCAAGATGCAGGAGGAGGAAAGTGAAGGAGACACTGAGAAGGACCAACGGTGGCAGCGTTTGCTCATTACGCATGCGGGACTCGTTGTGGGGATGGTGGAGGAGGTTTATGGGAGGAGAGCAGGAGGAGCAATGCTGGGAGAAAAACTCTGCGATGCTGGGAGACAGACCAGCTGGCGATCGCCTGTGATGGAGGAGCTGAAGGCTGTGACGGACAAATGCTCTCTTCCTCCTCAGCTTCCTCAGCGAGTTATGGACGCTTTGCAAAGTTTCCTGCGCTCCTCCTCTCCTCCTGCTGCTCCTCCTTCCTACCCTCCTCCTAAGCGACCTCGCAACAGCGAAAAAACTTCTGCACACCCGGAAGTTGTCGCCTGTTACTTGAAAGCTGAAGCTGAAGGGTCTGCAGGAGGAGGAGGGGGAGGGTATTCCTCGCCTGCACGTGAAGGATCTACCACCTGAGATGTGAGAAAATCATGTGCAGGAGGACAAAAGGCAGCGGAAGAGGCTGAGAGGAGGAGGGAGAAGAGGGCGGGGGCTGAGGAGGAGGAGGGAGAGGAGGGCAGGGGCTGAGGAGGAGGAGGGAGAGGAGGGCAGGGGCTGAAGCTCCAGCAGGTTCTGGGAAGAGTTCATGATGAAGAACCGGCCAGTGATGATAGAGGGGCTGACGGAGGGCTGGGAGATCGTCCGATGGGTCAGCGATGGGCAGCTGAGAACTGATCGACTTCGAGAGAGGTAAAGGAGCCAGACGCTGCTGCTGCTCATGCTGCTGCAGCTACGGCAAGGAGGAGGTGTGCGTGCACAACTGCCGAAAGAAAGTTCAGGTAGGAGGAGAAGGAGAAGGAGGAGGAAGCTAAATTAGTTTTTCTCAAGGGGATGGAGCAGTTAGAGAGCTCTTATATGTCGGTCTCAAGCTACTGCGACTGGTGGGATGCACGAGAGCGGAAGAGAGGGGAGGAGGAGGAGGAGCGTCTGCTCTACCTCAAGGTCTGTCATGCTGACGCTCCTACCCCAATGACGCGCGGGAAGGACTGGAACCTCGCGAAGCTGGAGGAAATGAAGCGAAAAGCAGACGAGAGGGAAGGAGGACAGCAGGAGGTTGAGGAGAGCAAGCAAATGACCAAGAGGATCTACAAGTGTCCGGAGCACTTCGAAGAAGATTGGTTGAACCGTTACGAGAGGAACTTTGCGTCCGATCATAGGTGCTTGTTCCTGCACGCTCCTCCATTCTCCCTTTCCTTCCCTCGTCATCTTTGAACGCTTTCTCGTGAGCTGCGGCCATCCTTCCTTTAGCTCATCTCGCTCCTCCCTTGTCTTATCTTATCTCCTTCCACCTTCCTTTCCTCAGGTTTGTTTACGTCGGTCCTGCCGGATCCTTCACTCCCTTCCACAAGGACACGCTCAACTCGTTCTCGTGGTCCTCAAATATCTGGTATTCCATCTACTCGCTCCTCCTTGTTCCCTCCCTCTACTTTTTCTCTCTTCCTTCATTCCCCTCATTCCTTGTTCTGTCTCTGCCTTCACTTCATAAATGTCTCTGTATCCTCTTGCTGCTTCAGCGTGATCTTGGTTCCGAGTGTTGTCCTCTCCTTCTCTGCTCCGTTTCGTTTCTTCTTGCTTGCCTGCTTGCTGCCTTCCCCTCGCTGACCGACCAGCAGCGGCTGCAAGAGGTGGTGGATGCTTCCGCCCGAGTACGAGCAGGAGACGCTGGATGGGGAGGGCAAGGAGCACATCTTTGACGTGCGCGAGGAGGAAGGGGAGAAGCACTGCCGCTTCGTCCTTGCGCGGCCTCGGATCACCACCTTCCTTCAGCGAGCCGGGGACACGATCTTTGTGCCGAGCGGTGAGAGCCGGGGAAGCAGCGAAAAGGAGGAAAGAGAGTAGGAGAAGGAGGAGAGAGAGGAGGAAGAAAAAGAAGAGGAAGAAAGAAAGAGGAGCGAAGGAAAAGGATCCTGCTCCTGCTCCTGCTCCTGCTCCTGCTCCTGCTCCTGCTCCTGCTCCTGCTCCTGCTCCTGCTCCTGCTCCTGCTCCTGCTCCTGCTCCTGCTCCTGCTCCTGCTCCTGCTCCTGCTCCTGCTCCTGCTCCTGCTCCTGCTCCTGGAGGCGCGGCTGGATTGAATGTGACGAGGGAGCAGGGTGGTGGCATCAGGTCGAGAACGTAGAGGACACGGTGAGCGTTAACCACAACTGGGTCAACGCGAGCAACGTGAGCTGGAGCTGGGAGCTCTTGTGAGGACTCAGAGGAGGAGGCAGACGAGCTGACGAGACTGGACAGGAAGGAAGAGGCAGAGAGGAGGAGGAAAGAACTCGGCGAGCAAGACTGCAAGGGTGTCGTACAGGTCATCCCCTGCTGCCGCTCTCTCCCTCTCTTCGCTTCTCCCTCCTCTCCTCTCCTCACGACGGCTGAGAGTTGAAGCAGGAGGTGCTGGAGTTTCGCCTTGGATGGAACTTCCGGAGCTTCTTGGTCTTTCTGCGCGAGTGCCTGGAGCTCGAGGTAGAGCAGGCCAGGCGTCTCCTCCTCCTACCGGTGGACAACAAAGACGGTGAGTTTGATGGAGAAGAAGAGGAAGAAAAGGAGATGAGGGAGCGGGGGAGAAGAGTCGAATGACGAGGAGGACGAAGAGGAGGAGAACGATGAAGGCGACTGCTAGGATTAGCTTGTGGTCGGCGGAAGCTGCGGCTACATGGACTCGAGCGACTCCTCGCCATCCTCCCCGAGGTAGCAAGGTGAGAAGAAGCCGAGAGGTGACACGTGCCATTGAAGCGACTGCCGTAGGATGTTGGGAGAAGAGGAGGAGGAAGGAGGACGGATGGAGGAAGCAAACAAGCTTCTGGTATCTCTCTCTTCACAACAAAAGTAGGACAAAAAACGGTACTCACAAGCAACCGGGGTCGCTTCAGGCATCTGAACGCAGGGGCAAAAGGGGATGGACGGAGGGAGGAGAAGAGGAGAAGAGAAAGATGGAGGAGGGGTGACGAAATACTGGAGGAGGGAGGAGCGACTACGTTACCACTTATAGGAGTTGAGGGCGCTGTTAGAGGACGATCGCTTGCAGAAGTATTCCTTGTAGACGTCCTTGATGGTCTAGACAAGCCCCAAAGATGCTTAGAGAGAGTAGAGGCAGGGAGAAGGCATGGATAATTCAAGCAGGAGGAAGAGAAGGGGGGAGTGAAGAAGTAGAAGTGTAGTGAAGGAGAACGAGGGCGAAGATGAAGCTTCACCTCGGTGATCAAGGTGGTCCAGCTGATTTCATGAGGATAGTTAAACTGAGGACAAGGCCTCTTGAATTCTCCTGGCCTCCTGCGGAAAGTCTCAGGGCGCAAGAGCAGAAGAAGAGGTTGGAGGAACCAGTCGGGGAGGTCGACGAGGGATCGACTTCTCTTTCCCGAGGTCCTCGCGCTGGGCTGAGAGGCTTCGGGAGAGTCACAAGACTTCGAGCAAGCCTTCTGCTCACTCTTCGACGCCGTGGACGCTGACCCGAGATGCCCCCGATCGCTGAGGAGAGCATGCTCCTTGCTTGACAGCGAGAGGTCCGACAGACGCCTGAGAGTAGGACAAGGTGGGGAGATGTCACGAGACACACAAGTCTTTGACTCCTCACCTGATTGTGTGACTCTGCTGAACATTTCTCAACTCTCGCGAGCGCAAAATGCGAAACTTGGCATCTGAGGTGAGAGTGAACGAGGGGACTGGGAGAGCTGCATAGACCTTGTGAGTCCTCCTGCTCAAGACTTTCTAACAGATCCTTGAGAGTCGTGTTCTCGTCCATGCAATGGGCATGCAATGACAGCAGAGACTGTTTGGCTTCTGACGGCAGGTCCAGCTCACGGATCTCCTCCTGCCTGAACTTTGACAACTCTGAGACGTTGTCTATCTTGAGATTTTCCAAGCATTCACGCAGACTCTGCTGGGTGTTGACAGACTCTCGAATGTCCAGCCTCGACAAAGACTCGCGCTGCATAATGTCCTGCTTGCCTGCTACCGCCAAGACCCTTCAGTCCCTGTAAACCACATCCTCAACCTCTGCACATCGTTACGTTTTTTCCTCGCATCCTTGTCATAATCTTTTCATTACTGTGAGCTTTACAGCATAATCGGGTCACACATCAGTCTATCTTTGATGAAATCAAACTCCTGTTGCCTTGCACCAAGGTAAGAGTGAGAGTGTATGTATTTCTTGTCGGTTCTCAAATCATACCTGCTAGTATATGTTGCTTATTTTTCCATTTTGCTTTCCGATTGGTTTCTCAAGTTTGCCTACTATCTACCTCGTGCAACTTCCTTTATGTCTGCTACCCTGCTGACCCTCTGAAATCTTTGAATTCTTTTGTTCTCCAACTACCAGTCCACCCTAGTTTTCTTATTATTGAATGAGTCCTTGCACATCAATGAGTTGCTGATTGATTCTCTCATGGCTCGTCACGAGGATGAAATCTTTTAGCATGCATCTTTCGCTCCTTGTTGCATACATCTTTCCTTCTTCTCCTTGCACTTCATATCCATCTCCTCCACAATGTCCACATTCGGTTCCTTTTTTGTTTTAAGTTTACAACTTATTGTATAACAATAATACTTTAATGAATGACTAGGAGTACCCACCCAGTGAGCGTATGGCATAAAGTCTGCAAAAAGGGGGTACAAGTATAGTCCTTCTTGGTAACTCTACCCCCTTCTTTCACTCGCAAGTACCCACCCTTTTGTAGTGCTTTTTCTGACAAATGATTACATCAAAATTAAAATAATAATAAATTTTGTAATAATCATTTTTATGAGCCAGTGTCAGTCCCCAATTGACCAGTGGACCCCTCATCTAGGCATTCAAGTTGAGCTATAGGGTGGGGTGGGGTGTAGGTATTGTAGTACATTTCGATCCCCAACTCTCTGCGAGGCTCGTCGCGTACCGTACGTCATCTGTACTCACCGCCGCCGCACAGCCGGCGGGCCCGGGCCTGCCGCATCATTGAATGCCGCGGCCCGGGCCGGGCGTGACAGCCTCCGGCCTGCGGCCGGGCCGCCGCTGGCCGGCCGGGCCGCACTGCAGCCCGGCCCCGGGTAGCCTGTCACTACGGTACGGCCCTGTCAGTACCGTACGCCGGTCGGAGCCGCGCGCCCGGCGCCGGCGGGCCGCGCCGGGCCGCGCCTACTCAGTGACCGGCCGCGACGGTACCGTACGGGACGGAACCCAGCCGCCGCCTGGGGCCCGGGGCCCGGGGTCGGACGGTCACACCGTCACTCCGATCAATCTGACGCCCCGGGCCCCGGGCGCCGGATCGGCACCGGTCACCGGCGGGGCCCGGCCGGCGGCTGAACCCGGTTCGGAGTCTACTGACGGCGGCCCCGGCCGGGTTCAACCCGGACCGTTGACTCGTGACGGGGCGGCCGCCGGTTACTAGGCTACTCAGCCTGATATGCAGTGCCGCTGAGCGTGTGCCGCACTGGCCACCGTGCTGGCACAGTGCCAACCATTGAACCGTCATGATGCTCACGCCACGGCAGGGCCGCCCGGCCGGGCGCTGAGCCCGTACTACGGTACGGTCAGCCTACTGAGGGCCTCGGTCACGCGGTGACGGGGACTCCGGCGGGACGAGTCGGGAGTCCGATCACCGTGACACTGAGTGTAGTCACACAGTGACGGTGACGCCGGGAGCTAGTGGTGACCGTGGTCCGGGGCCGACACTGTGACAGCCTGAGAGTGGGCACTCAGTCGGATCATCAGCCTGAGTGCCGAGTCGGATCGGACGGTCCACTGCGGCCAATCGCCACGCCCGGCCCGCGCCGGGCCGGTGCCGCGGCGGCTGCGCCCGGCCCTGAGTCAGACGGTCACCTCTGTCGGACTCTCCCGGATCGGTAACTGAGTAAAGTTTACGCCGGGCCTCAAAGTATAATAATATTTTGAAATTTCAAGACCCAGGCAGAAATCTCTTATGAAAATTGAACTGATGCGAATGGCATTCATATTCAAAGACTGCAAATTGGAAATGTCTGATTCATGCCATACACCAATTTTCTCTCTTTCGATTCAATACTGCCATTACCATTTCAAATATTTGATGAAAAAAATACCAATCATTCCATTCCATTTGAACCCGGCACGCGAGCATGGCGGCCATGACAAGGGGTGCTGTAGTAGAAAGTGGGAAAGCAGGATAGAAAGGATGGCAGACAGAGAGGAGGAGAGAAGGAGTAATAGATGTCATAGATGAAGCGATTAGAGGATGACAGGAGAGATGATAGCATAGATGAAGTGATGAGAGGTAACGATGTATTTTACTATCAGAAAGGAAATGTGAAGAAGCAGAATAGAACAGATTTGGGTCCTCAGAGAATACAATCATGTTGAAATGGATCATGGTGATTCAGATGATTTGGTTAAACAATGAAGCGAAGAAGTTTAGTAGTAGGTCGGACATGACAAAAGATCCAGTAGGTCATGAGAAAAGACTTGGTCAACCGATGCTATCATGCAATACTTGAAAGTTGTATCTATCATCTCATGTTCCTTTTAGATTCTCCCTGAAGTCCGATAGTGCGACATGACGGATCTATCAGCCTTTCTCCCTGAGGCTCTCTCACAAAAGCGAAGGCTCCGCAGTCTCTTCCTCTTCCAGGTCTATGTCTCTGCCTTCGCCGGTCTCATCGCCTTCGTCTTCCCCAAGGCCTTTGGCGTCTTCTTTACCGACGGCTCTGTCTCTGACGGCGTTCACTCGGGCGCTGGCGCCAGCAACTCCCAGGGCTCTGTGGCCCACTTCATGATCCGCCTCTACGGTGCTCTTCTTGGCACGCAGGCTTGGCTGGTGTGGGTGGTGGCCAAGGTGGACGACGGATACGTGAAGCGAGCTTTCATCCAAGGCTACTTCGGCTGCTTCGCCGCATCCCTCGCCGCTGTAGTGGCGGCACATGCTCAGGATGACGGGACGATGGCCGGGCATTTCTTCGGGGCTCTCAAGATCGTGATCCTAAGCATCCTCACCGCCGGCTACGGCTGGTTCGCTTTCTTCCAACCCCCAGCTGTCTACGAGCTTCCCAGAGACCATTAACAGCCATCTTCCTTGCTGCCTCACTCTCCATCTTGGGGCGGAGCTGGAGGCGGCAGTCTGATTCGCACGTGCAGTTTGCCTGCTTCTCCCGGGCTCCAGTCCAGCTGCTCTGTGGTCCTTGACATCTCTCGCAAGTGACAGACCTCATCAGATCTAGAGATTTTAAGTTACCTTGAAGTGAAACGAGACTAACCCTCCTGCTTCTCCATCTCCATCCTCCCCTATCTCCACTTATCCCTAGCTGTCCCTCGCGTGGCATGCTGGGTTCAAGTTCCTTGCAGCCGTGTAGAAGCTTCTCTTGCTGCCTCTCTGACATGGCGCTCGCAATCTCCCTGGAGCGCCTGCAAGCCCTGCGGGATTTCAGCGAATCAGCACAAGGAAAAGCTGAGTCTCCTGTACCTGCATCACTTTGTCGTCCGTGCGATCCCCCAGCAGTGACAAGGCAAGCGCTGCCTCTCTTCTCACCCCCCAGTCTGAATCCTGTGAACCCGTCAACCTTTCCTCTCCTTCCCCTCTCCCTCACCTGCAGCATGAAGAGCATCTGACCACATATCCTCTGATTCCCTTTGAGCGACACTTTGCTTGCAACCTGACAGTTGAAAGTCAAGGGACGAAGGGTCATAGGCACGCTCGACCTGCACAGCCGACTGTCGGACAGCAGGGAGAGGATGCAGCATGTACTGCAGCGTGAGGCTCAAGAATCTCTCGCGTACTCCCTGTCACAGCATCTCACTTCCACGTCTCACATCTCCGTGTCTCCATATACGTCGTCACGAGCGCTGAGGCTCGCGTCGGTGATCACCTTGACTGCAGACGACCGAACCTGCGGGTTAGTGAGACTGTTACCATCAGTGACCTCCTTCATCACCTGCTCTTCGGGGTCTTGAAGTGCGTGGAAGACAATGGACAAGGAGTTCTGGTCTCCTTCATGTACCTCAGGTCATTGTCAAGTCGTCGGACTCTCGAGCCAGAGCTGATTTACAAGGCGAGAAAGGGTACGGACTGCAGCAGCTCGAGCAAAAGGAGGACCGAAGTCGATCTTGTGACGGATACCCCACAGGATGTCTTCATCGTTCTTCTTGAAATTTCCGAGAGCGTCAGTCTGCACACAGGTCAACAGGTCAGCTCTTCTCTGCTGCAGAAGCTTGCATCCTGACCGCAGCAGCACGGACCGAAGGGTCGGAGTCTTCGAGGTGAGCAAGCAGCATGTTTGCCAACTTGAGGTTCCTCTCGTCTTGTTCTATGATACCTTGCAGTGCCATAATCGTCGCTCGTCGCACCTGAGACATCCCAAATTCGCGACCCACCATCGATAGCAAGCACCTCTCACCTTCGCATCATCGACAAAAAGGTATCTGCTCAGACTGTTGATCATCCCAGAATCGCCCTGGGTCATAGTCACAAGCAGGGATGAGCTCGGAGCGTGAGACCTTGGGAGCCAGCTCTCTCAAAGCTTCAATCACGACGACTAAGAGCTTCGGTGAGCAGCCCTCTAGCTGCCCGTAGACCTTGTCAGGGCTGCGTCTAACTCACACCTCAATGCCCTGCACCTTGCACGCCAGTGCTGACACTACTCGCTTCTCCCCTCTTGGACAGATTTTCGGCAAAGTCTTGGCGGCAAGGATTTGATCCTACAGAGGAAGTCAACCAAGAGACAATGGAACAGTCGTAACAGTACTTGCTCGCTTCCCCTTTCCAGGTGATTCAACAGAAGCGACCCTGCCTCGGTGTCTTTAACAACCCCTCGTCCCAACGCGTTGCTCACCGGCCGCTGAAGTTGGAGCATCGGCAAGCTCTAACTCCACCGGTACGCCTGGACCAGCATCAACGCAATCACGATTTGAACCCTCCAATCCTACCTGTAATAAGACATTGTACGTCGGACACCAAAAGTCGTGCCTGTTCCTGGTGGATCGTGAGTGGGGGGCAGGATGAAATGAGGAGAAAAGGTTGAGGGTCCAAGGTTGAGAGGGATGTACACTCTAGCTCGGCTACTTCTTAAGAGATGTCACGAGCATTCTTGCTTCAAGTGGCCGAGCAGAAGGAATATTTGCCGCCTTCAAACATCGCGAGACAAGGGTAATGTCGGGCAATGAGAACTAGCGGCAACACAACTACTGCTAGGCGAATCTCACGGTCACCTGCGAGAGCCCCAAGAGCATGAAATCATCCTCATCCAAGTCTGCCAAGTAGCGTGCGGGAACGCCTGTAGGTGCAAGACTCTCATCCTCAGAGCATGTGTCTACACGGAACTCACCATCATTCTCAAGCGGTTGAGGGTCAAAGCCCATCAGTTTCATGAAAGAACTGATCTATCCTCACTCATAGTTAATGGAACATGCGGTAAAGTCTGGGAGGACCTGGGGTTGTTGCCATGTACGTATGTCTAGTCTCGACGCTTTCGCAGGTGAGAGAACACTACCATGCTGTCAGAATCTCTAACGGAGACACTGTGAAATCTCGTACCTTCCTGCTCCCCCTGCTCCCGCTCCTGCTCCCCCTGCTCCCCCTGCTCCCCCTGCTCCCCCTGCTCCCCCTGCTCCCGGCGTTCCCGCTGCTCCTCCGGCCCCTCCCCCATCCCCTCGCCCGCTCTTCCTCGGGCCCATACCTCCGCCGCCACACCCTCACCTACCCCACCCACCCCTTTCCCCTCGCTGACCCCTACTATCGACCTGATTTTTAACTCAACTGAGGCCGGGCCGAACTCGGAAGGCCCGCATGCCGGGTCCGGGGGACTCATGATGAGCCTCCGAGGCTCCGGCAGTCTTGTCAGCCGCGCAGACTGAGACGCCCGGCACCGCCAGCCGCTGAGCCTACGCGCGAAGCCGCGCAGACTCAAGCAGGGAGGGCCGCAAGCAACAGTCTGTAGGAGGTTTAACAAGCAGCAGGAGCACAATGATGGGGACCTCCGAGACATGATGAAACAGTCTCTTAGACGCGATACTGACCCCGGCCGGCGGCGGCGGCGGAGGCATCCGACTGACCGCTGTCCGACCGTCAGTCGTCCCAGGCGGACCCCCGGGCAGCGCCGGCTCCTTGTCGGCGGCTGCCCTTTCTCCGTCCGCGACCCGGCTCTGCCAGGCCCACCGTGCCACAGTGACTGGTGACTCCGACAAGCGGCTGCGGCGGACGTACTAGGGCCCCCGGCGGCGGTCAGTCAGCCGGGCTGCCACCGGGCCCGGCTGCCGCTGTGTGCCGATATAGTGACGCCGGTGCTCGTTGCTTGCCCCTCTCTGCGGCTTGTCTACCGTGGCTTCCCGCGTGGGCTCAGTCAGCGGCAGTGTAGCCCGGGTCTGGTTCAGCTTGGCAGTGCCGCACTCGCCGTCGCGGCTCCCAGGTTCCGAGGGCCTTACCCTGATCCGATGATCCGGCCGCGAGTAAAATTCTCTTGTCGTCTGGCCCGGCCGTCACCGACGGTCGGAGGCTCGCCGGGACCCGCCGCGTTGCCACCGCCGTGTGCATCCCGGCGGGGCACCCTCGAAGCACCAGCCTGAGACGGTCGGCCTCGGCGCGGCCCCGCTGTGACAGTTGCCAGCCTGCCAGTGTACTTTTGGTCTTGATTTTTGTGCAGCTTCTTGCTGTGCGCTGTGTGCATGGCAGGTTTAGCTTTTTCCTTCTTTGTTTTGCTTCCAACAGGGCCCGGCCATCGGTGATCGACGGCGACGACGCTGCAGCAGTACCAAAGGTCTAAGTTTTAATCGCAGAAGGTAAAGTACCCCGCCCGAGGAGGAGTCTTCGCCGGAGGTCTCCGACTCCTGCTTTGTTTTGCTTGAGTGTTTGTGCAGCTTCTCGCTGTGTGCTGTGTGCCTGGAGGTTTAGCTTGTTCCTGCTTGTTTTGCTTGAGGCACTTTTTACCTTCTGCCAGTAAATCCATTGTACCGTCCGTGACATGGGCTGGTACTCCTCCTCGAGCGTTCATCCCTCTTGCCATCTCGCCGGACGGTACCCTGCATCCTGACACCCTCCGCTTCATCTGGTATCTCGCGGACATCATTGCTCAGCGCTCGATGCCTCTTGAGAATAGGATTTAAAAAGTGCCTCAAGCAAGAGGATGCGGCGTTTGGTCGGCACTTCGTGCCTGATGACGGCCCTGCTGCTGAGGTCCTGGCTCGCAAACGCGCCGCCACCTATCAGCGCCTCACTATGCAGCTTCTGCTTCTCGCTGTGGACTGTGTGCCTGCCGGTTCAGCTTGTTCCTGCTTTGTTTTGCTTACCTCCTGCCAGTAAATCCTATACCCCCCTATTGACAGCTCCTCCTCGGACTTTGTCGAGTCGCCCGAGGAGTCTTCGCCGGAGGTCTCCGACTCCGATGGGGGACACCCTTCGAGTGGCGCCGACGATCGGCGCGGAGCTGGCGAGGCGTCTCCGTCCCTCACTGTGACGTCGGGTGCCTCCGGAGAGCTCGACACCACTGGGGTGCTTGCTGCTGGTCCGAGCTCGCCTGCTTCCTCCCCGGCATCGGTCGGGTCACGCCGGTCCTTGGGCATTGCCGCGGCGTCGCCGCCGTCACGGGCGGCTACCACTGACTTGGCTACCGCTGACTCGGAGGCTAGCCGCGAGGAGGACTACCAAGCTCGAGCGGTACCGTGTTCCAGTGTCCAGCCTCCCTCCGTCCGCTGCCCCTGGCGGACCCCCGGGCAGCGCCGGCTCCTTGTCGGCGGCTGCCCTTTCTCCGTCCGCGGCCGCCCGCTTTGTGGCGGCAGCGGACGTCTCGACTGACAGTGGTCAGTCGGCTGCCTCCGGGTATCGCGTCTAAGGGATTTTCTTCCTCCTGCATGCTCCTGCTGCTTGTTGCTTGATTGCCTGACCCTTAGGCTGCTTGTCTGCGCGGCTTCGCGCTTGGGCTGGCGATGCCGCGTCTGGGTGCCAGCAGTGCTGGTTCTTTTCGGGCTTGTGTTTTGTGTGTGTTTGTGCAGCTTCTCGCTGTGGACTGTGTGCCTGGAGGTTTAGCTTGTTCCTGCTTTGTTTTGCTTGAGGCACTTTTTACCTTCTGCCAGTAAATCCTATATTCCCTATGCAGCTGACGCTGGAGGCGCTCTTGTCTGGTGCCAGGCGCATGACGCCCTTGCGGGCGCAAGCACTTCTCGAGCGGGTGCGAGGATTTACTGGCATAAGCCAGAGGACAGCTCCTCCTCGGACTTTGTCGAGTCGCCCGAGGGGGAGTCTTCGCCGGAGGTCTCCGACTCCGATGGGGGAAACACGTCGAGTGGCGCCGACGATCGGCGCGGAGCTGGCGAGGCGTCTCCGTGGGCTGGCGATGCCGCGTCTGGGTGCCAGCAGTGCTGGTTCTTTTCGGGCTTGTGTTTTGTGTGTGTTTGTGCAGCTTCTCGCTGTGGACTGTGTACCTGCCGGTTCAGCTTGTTCCTGCTTTGTTTTGCTTGAGGCACTTTTTATCTTCTGCCAGTAAATCCTATATCCGTCCCTCACTGTGACGTCAGGTGCCTCCGGAGAGCTCGACACCACTGGGGTGCTTGCTGCTGGTCCGAGCTCGCCTGCTTCCTCCCCGGCATCGGTCGGGTCACGCCAGTGGATTTACTCAGTATAGGATTTACTCGCAGAAGGTAAAAAGTGCCTCAAGCAAAACAAAGCAGGAAAGGCAGAAGGTAAAAAGTCCTCAAGCAAAACAAAGCAGGACAAGCTAAACACAAACACACACAAAACACATAGCCCGAAAAGAACCAGCACTGCTGGCACCCAGACGCGGCACCGCCAGCCCAAGCGCGAAGCCGCGCAGACAAGCAGCCGAAGGGTCAGGCAATCAAGCAACAAGCAGCAGGAGCATGCAGGAGGAAGAACATCCCTTAGACGCGATACCCGGAGGCAGCCGACTGACCACTGTCAGTCGAGACGTCCGCTGCCGCCACAAAGCGGGCGGCCGCGGACGGAGAAAGGGCAGCCGCCGACAAGGAGCCGGCGTTGCCCGGGGGTCCGCCTGGGGCAGCGGACGGAGGGAGGCTGGACACAGGAACACGGTACCGCTCGAGGTAGTCCTTTGCTTGAGGCACTTTTTACCTTCTGCCAGTAAATCCTCTGTAGTGTCCTCCTCGCTAGCCTCCGAGTCAGCGGTAGCCGAGCCGCCCGTGACGGCGGCGACGCCGCGGCAATGCCCAAGGACCGGCGTGACCCGACCGATGCCGGGGAGGAAGCAGGCGAGCTCGGACCAGCAGTAAGCACCCAGCGCTTGGGCTGGCGCTGCCGCGTCTGGGTGCCAGCAGTGCTGGTTGTTTTCGGGCTTGTGTTTTGTGTGTGATTGTGCAGCTTCTCGCTGTGGACTGTGTACCTGCCGGTTCAGCTTGTTCCTGCTTTGTTTTGCTTGAGGCACTTTTTATCTTCTGCCAGTAAATCCTATATCTTCCAGTGGTGTCGAGCTCTCCGGAGGCACCCGACGTCACAGTGAGGGACGGAGACGCCTCGCCAGCTCCGCGCCGATCGTCGGCGCCACTCGAAGGGTGTCCCCCATCGGAGTCGGAGACCTCCGGCGAAGACTCCGCGGGCGACTCGACAAAGTCCGAGGAGGAGCTGTCCTCTGGCTCGAGAAGTGCTTGCGCCCGCAAGGGCGTCATGCGCCTCGCACCAGACAAGAGCGCTTCCAGCGTCAGCTGCATAGTGAGGCGCTGATAGGTGGCGGCGCGTTTGCGAGCCAAGACCTCAGCAGCAGGGCCGTCATCAGGCACGAAGTGCCGACCAAACGCCGCATCCTCAAGAGGCATCGAGCGCTGAGCAATGATGTCCGCGAGACTCCTTATAGGATTTACTGGCAGAAGATAAAAAGTGCCTCAAGCAAAACAAAGCAGGAACAAGCTGAACCGGCAGGTACACAGTCCACAGCGAGAAGCTGCACAAACACACACAAAACACAAGCCCGAAAAGAACCAGCACTGCTGGCACCCAGACGCGGCATCGCCAGCCCAAGCGCGAAGCCGCGCAGACAAGCAATATAGGATTTACTGGCAGCAGATAAAAAGTGCCTCAAGCACAAGCAGCCCTTAGGTCAAGCAATCAAGCAACAAGCAGCAGGAGCATGCAGGAGGAATAACATCCCTTAGACGCGATACCCGGAGGCAGCCGACTGACCACTGTCAGTCGAGACGTCCGCTGCCGCCACAAAGCGGGCGGCCGCGGACGGAGAAAGGGCAGCCGCCGACAAGGAGCCGGCGCTGCCCGGGTGTCCGCCTGGGGCAGCGGACGGAGGGAGGCTGGACACATGAACACGGTACCGCTCGAGGTAGTCCTCCTCGCTAGCCTCCGAGTCAGCGGTAGCCAAGTCAGTGGTAGCCGCCCGTGACGGCGGCGACGCCGCGGCAATGCCCAAGGACTGGCGTGACCCGACCGATGCCGGGGAGGAAGCAGGCGAGCTCGGACCAGCAGCAAGCACCCCAGTGGTGTCGAGCTCTCCGGAGGCACCCGACGTCACAGTGAGGGACGGAGACGCCTCGCCAGCTCCGCGCCGATCGTCGGGGCCACTCGAAGGGTTTCCCCCATCGGAGTCGGAGACCTCCGGCGAAGACTCCCCTCGGGCGACTCGACAAAGTCCGAGGAGGAGCTGTCCTCTGGCTCGAGAAGTGCTTGCGCCCGCAAGGGCGTCATGCGCCTCGCACCAGACAAGAGCGCCTCCAGCGTAAGCTGCATGGTGAGGCGCTGATAGGTGGCGGAGCGTTTGCGAGCCAAGACCTCAGCAGCAGGGCCGTCATCAGGCACGAAGTGCCGACCAAACGCCGCATCCTCAAGAGGCATCGAGCGCTGAGGAATGATGTCCGCGAGATACCAGATGAAGCGGAGGGTGTCAGGATGCAGGGTACCGTCCGTCGAGATGGCAAGAGGGATGAACGCTCGAGGAGGAGTAGTCATGGCATATGCTGCGCGATGTTTGCGAATCTTCTCAGACGCTGCAACATGGAGGGCGTCGAGGTTGACCTCCCCCCACTTGGTCTACTTGGTCAGGTCGGCAGAGCTACCAATGTAAGGGTGGACCGAGATACCAGATGAAGCGGAGGGTGTCAGGATGCAGGGTACCGTCCGTCGAGATGGCAAGAGGGATGAACGCTCGAGGAGGAGTAGTCATGGCATATGCAGCGCGATGTTTGCGAATCTTCTCAGACGCTGCAGCATGGAGGGCGTCGAGGTTGACCTCCCCCCACTTGGTCAGGTCGGCAGAGCTACCGATGTAAGGGTGGACCAACGTCACGTCCGCCATCAAGCCCTCGTACTGCTCGGACCCTCGATCGCGGATTCCAGGGATGTGGATATCGCCCTTCATCTTGCGGCCATGAGGATGGGAGGGTACCTGCCGTCGAGAACGAGGATCCCCCACTGTATCGATGACACTCTGAAGACCAGCTTCGTTCAGCATCGACCGAATCGTACGAGTAAGGTTGTCATGCGCCGTGGGAAGCTTGGAGGATCGGCGTTTGCAGGTCTGGAGATGATGTGCAGCAACGGAGGGATCGAGCTCGCGCTGACATCCATCACATTCCGTCGGACACTGGCAGATCGGCATGCCATGGAGAAGACAAGCAGCCTAAGGGTCAAGCAATCAAGCAACAAGCAGCAGGAGCATGCAGGAGGAAGAACATCCCTTAGACGCGATACCCGGAGGCAGCCGACTGACCACTGTCAGTCGAGACGTCCGCTGCCGCCACAAAGCGGGCGGCCGCGGACGGAGAAAGGGCAGCCGCCGACAAGGAGCCGGCGTTGCCCGGGTGGGGAGGCACCCAACGTCGCAGATGTATAGGCTTTACTGGCAGAGGGTAAAAAGTGCCTCAAGCAAAACAAAGCAGGAACAAGCTGAACCTCCAGGCACACAGTCCACAGCGAGAAGCTGCACAAACACACACAAAACACATGCCCGGAAAGAACCAGCACTGCTGGCACCCAGACGCGGCATCGCCAGCCCAAGCGCGAAGCCGCGCAGACAAGCAGCCTAAGGGTCAAGCAATCAAGCAACAAGCAGCAGGAGCATGCAGGAGGAAGAAAATCCCTTAGACGCGATACCCGGAGGCAGCCGACTGACCACTGTCAGTCGAGACGTCCGCTGCCGCCACAAAGCGGGCGGCCGCGGACGGAGAAAGGGCAGCCGCCGACAAGGAGCCGGCGCTGCCCGGGGGTCCGCCTGGGGCAGCGGACGGAGGGAGGCTGGACACAGGAACACGGTACCGCTCGAGGTAGTCCTCCTCGCTAGCCTCCGAGTCAGCGGTAGCCGAGTCAGTGGTGGGGAGAGTGGCTCAGGTCTCGCTCAGGAAAATGAGCGAAGATGGTAGACTGCAAGACCCTATCCTGCGACTTGAGCGAGTGTGTCCTGCGGCTGTGCAAGGTGAGGATATCACGCTGCTGATCGGTCAGCGCAGCGCGAGCATGCACATGGCGAGGGAAGACGCGCATGACAAGAGGGGTCACATTTCGCTGCGCAGGGGGAGGAATGAAGTGCTCATGAGACGAGTCGACGAGAGCGCGCAAACCAGGGATGTGTACCACAGATGCCGGGGGGCGTCCTGCGTCATCAGGCACAGCAGCCGGGGCAGGTGGGATCGCCGCGCCATCTGCAGCCGGTGCAGGAGCCTTGACACGACGGTAGAGGATCGCTCCAGCATTATGAACGAAGTCGTGCGCCTCAACGAAGAAGGTCGCCAGAGGATGCTTCTGGGCACGGAGAGATCTCGAGCAGTGAACGTCCAGGCTATGAGGAGAGGGCAAGGTCCGGGACATGGGCTGGTCAGAGTACCAAGCGAGGAAGCGAGCGATAGCCGTATAGTAAACAGCGGGGTGTAGACCCTCAGAGGGCGTGAACTCGTCCCCTCCCCGACTATGCGGAAGCTCCCGCTTGAACCTCGCAAACTCTAGCAGGTGGCCCTCGGATGGCAACTTGTATGCCGGGTCTTCTTCTTCCTGCCCTGTCGGCCATTTGTCGAGGTGGCCGATTTATTCCCCTCAGTGATAAACCTGGTCTCCGGCCCATTGTTATCGGCCCGGGGTCCGCACTGGCACTGTCGACTCGCGCTGGGTGGCCCGGTTGAGGGTCCCGGCGGCGGTCTGGTTGCAACGTGACTGACCCCAGCCCCTGCACTGCCAGCCCACGCGGGAAGCCGTGTACTGGGCCTCCGCCGGGGCCCGGACCGGTCGGCCGCTGCTGAGACTCCCGCCCGGCCGCTGAGCCCGTGCGCGGGGCGCGCTCGGAGGCTCCCGGCCATATGCTGCAGGGCAACACCGTGCCCTAGCCAACAACTAGGCGACATGAAGGACATTCAAGGAGCATAGAAGCTCAGCAGGGTTGAGCAAGGAAAGATGGAAGGGAGCAAGGAGGGCTTGTGTGTGTTTGCAAAGGCAGAGAGGAAGAGGAGGGAAACACGTGAGATCAGGTCAGAGTTGCTTCACTGAGTGATACAGCAGACAACGAGGGCGAGCATGAACAACTTGATTGTGAAGGTGATTGTATGCTTCACCCTGGCGATGACACTGGTGAACCAGTCTCACTTTTGATGGTTCCACTGACTCCTCCCTTCCTATCTCTCAAGGCTTCAGGTTTCTCTCCCGCTCGGCTCCCCGTCCGGTCTCCTCCTGTCGTGCCTCATGGGCGCGTTGCTATGAGCAAGAGGCAACCGCCCCCATGCACCGCAGCAGGTAGCCCGAGCACCAACTGCCGGTGAGGGGGCGGAGGGAGAGGAGGAGCGGATGAGAGTTGAGACATCTCAGGTATCCTCCTCACGAGCCCTGCGAGGCTTCCGGGTGAGGGTCTGAGCTCGAGGGGCTGGAGGTGATGACGGCTGCTCAGGCGTTGCCGGGTCGATGGGCAGAGGTGCTCGATACGGCGGCAGGCGGCTAGAGAGGCAGAGCTGAAAGACAAGGTGAGAGGAGAGAAGCATGCTGGGGGAGCTGACGGAGGGATGGCAGAAGTAGATGCTGTTCCATGACGTTAATGTCTTGCTCGCATGAGAAGAGCTCGAGCAGGCTGATATCCGCTTGCTGCTGCGCTCTGAAGGAGCTTGATGGCGTCCTGCATCCTCTCGCTTTGCGTTCCCCCCGTGCTGTTGTTCTCCTGTTGCATCCAGTTGACAGCAAGAGAGAGCTGTGCCTTGGGATGCCCAGCACTCGCTGCTCGCTCGAGCCAGACGTTCGCCTGTGGTGGTCTCATAGTCAGTCATCCGATCCTTCCATCCCTGCCCCCCCCCCCCTCTTCCTCTCTCAGGCACCTCTCGAAGTTCTTGTGGGTCGCCTCTGCCATCACCACGCAGGAGGAGGTGGAGGTTGAACATGGCGCGGGCATGGCCGCGTTTAGCAGCCATTGTGAGCCACTGCAGGAAGTGAGTAGAGGGAGGAGGAGCTGCACGTATACCTGACGTCCTCTCCTCTCTCGCTTCTCCACCCCCTCCCCCTCCATCAGCATGCGAGAAACTGCAAACATCGCATCTGTGTTCCCTTTCTTAGCGGCTCCCCGCAACCATCGGTATGCTGTCTCCGCGCTCCTATGCATCTTCCTCATGGTTAACGATAGGCAAACATGCATCTGTTGTGGCCTCACCAGGTTCCCATCGAGGTGGAGGCGACCGTACTCGTACATCGCTTCAGCTTCTCCTGTCAGAGCTGCCCGTTGTAGCAGCAGCACCGCCTCCCCCTTTTCTCGCATGTCTTGGCTGCCAAGTAGCCGTCGAGCAAACACGACCTGAGCCTGTCGTGAAGACCCGTCAGCGAGTCAAGTCACTCTCCTTCCTTGCCTTGGGGTCTCCGTTCTCCGCGGCAAGCTTGACGTACTCGTCCTCTTCCTCCTCTTCCAGCCGAATGGTCTGGTCAACGCCACTCACGTTGCCTTTGCGGGCATAGAGCTTCCCCAGCCTCGTCTGCGTCCCGTCAGCTCCCGCACTGTCAGCAACGAGACCAACTTTCGCCTCCTCGTTCCCTTGACTCGCTGCCCTCGACCACCACGTGGTCGCCTGCCAGCTGGACTTTAGCTAGGCTGAGAAAGTAGGAAGGCTTGAGAGGGAGCGAGAGAGGAGTACAAGTGAGGTGAGATGTTGGAGAGGAGGAGGACAGCAAGGAGATGTGGGTCGAGGTAGAGCAAGGTGAAGCGAAACACTTTGAGACAAGACTACATTCACCAGGTTGAGATCCTTGTGGAAGCGATGGAAGCCCTTGTGGTAATAGTCTCCCAAGGCCAGCTGAGCCCCTGCATGCCCGCTCTCAGCAGCATGAGCTATCAAGCTCACTCCTCGAGACACGTTCCTGCCTCAGCGTCAGAGGGCGTGAGGAGAGGAGCTGCACTTGAAGCACCTCAAGCCTAACGCTGCACCTCCCTTGCTACCGTCCATGAGGAGAGGAGCAAGAAGAACCATGGCCTCCAGGTGCTGCTCGTCTGCTGCTCGTGCCAGCCATGACACAGCTCGCTCTTCGTTTGGCGTCTTGAGCCATCCTTCTGCCTTGAGGAACCTCCGTCCAATCTCATACTGAGCCTGCACACACTCGACGTCACCGCCGTCACTCTCTGCTAGGTCCAAAACCTGCGCCATGCTCACTCCAGTCGCTTGCATGTAGAGGTCTAGCCCTTTCTCTTCATCTCTCTTCACACCCTTGGCTTCGATGTAGCACAAGCCTGCAAGCTACTGGGCATCAGCTCATTCACCACCACCACCACCACCTCCTCCTCCTGCCTTCACCTTGAGCGACTCATTCCAACCGCACCCTGCGTTCTCTAGTAGCAGAGCTGCACATTTCCTTTCGTTTTGCTTGACTCCTTTGCCTTCGCTGTAGCACATAGCTATCCTGTGCTTGGACTTGAGGCTGCATCCTCATCAGCTCAGCATGGGGATGGAGTGTCAGGAACCAGCCGAGGCTCGCGGCCTTGCTCCAGCACGTGAAGGCTTGAAGGTAGTCGGGTTCGTCGAGAGCGAGGCCCTTGCTCCTCCATCAGGAAGGGAACAGGAGAGAGAAGAGGAGGCTATCGCTGCTGTTCCATCGCCCTCACCTCATAGAAGCACGTTCCTAGCAGATGCAGCGAGTCCGTGTGGTTCTGCTCGCCCGCATATGAAAGCAGCTCAATTCCCGTCTCGTGGTCCACTTCAACTCCTTCCTGCCTCTCAGTCACTCCTAGAGCTCTTAAACTCCCTCCCCCCCCTTGACAAGTCACTTACTCCATTCAGGTAGCATATGCCGAGCATGAACTGAGCCTTCGCGTACCCAAGAGACTTCAATTGACTCGCGTATTCGTTCACCTGATCTGCCGTTACCACCACCGCCACTACTACCTCCTCCTCTTGCTTCTGCTGCTCCTGTTGCTACTTCCTTTGCCACCTTCTCCTTGCCCTCGTCATTGTTGCTATCGTGCACCAGCTGGTCTTTTGCTGTCTCAATTCTCCCTATCGCTTTCTTTCTTCCTTCTCTCTCAGTTTCTTCCTTCACTCTCAGTTTCTTCTCTCTCAGCTCTCCCGCTCCCTCCTTCACCTGCACCCACTCGTCTCTGCCCCACAGCGCTGCCTTTCTCAGCCATTCGCACGCCTGTTCCATCAGTCACACGCGCTAAGAGCGAGCAGGAGTGCCTGTGAGACGTTCTTGGGGACTCCATGCCCATAGTAGTAGCAGACGCCGAGGTTGTACATGGCGGCGGGGTCGTCTCCCTCTTCGGCAGATCGTCGGTACCACCGGATGCCCTCCGTTCGGTTTCGATCGACGCCGACGCCCTGCCATGGTCACCCGGGGAAGGAAAGAACTTGAATCACCTCGTCCAGGCAGTACCCAGCCCTCCGCATGCAGAGAAAGGAACCCCTGTGAGCCAACGCGAGCATATGCTCAAATCCTTTCCCTGCTCACAGTCAGGGTAAGAGAAGCAAGACAGCACGAGGTGCTCGCACGTTGATTCTTCGGCACTCCATGGCTTCCTTCTAGTGTCCACAAAGCCAAGGTCTCCTCTGCCGCCATGCAGCCTCCCTCCGCTGCTCGTTGAACCCACTTGACGGCTCTCGCACAGACGATGGAGCGACTCTCAGGCCTGGTCCTCTCCAGCCACTGGATCTGAAGCATCCCCAGCTCATACTGCGCTGTTGCGTTGCCATTGCGTGCGGCGTGAAACAGAGCTGTCATGGCAATGTCATCCTCATGCAGCAAGCAGTGATGTGCAGGTATGTGTCACCTTGCAATCGAAGGTTCTTGAGAGGTTTCTTGACGGAAGCATGGCTCTTCCTGTCCTTGACGGGTCTACTCTCTACCTGCCTCCTCTTCTCGCCACTCACTTCCTGACCCCCGCGCAGTTCTGCCACTCGAATGCGTGATACTTGCAGACGCCGAAGGAAGAGAGAGACATCACACGTGGATCGACAAGCAGGTGCAGGCAGTTGCCCTATCTCACTGTAGGAGCAGCACCGAGCTCCAACAGGGAGCACGAGAATGAGTGCGACCAGGAGGCAAGGGAGCGTGAGCGATCTCATCGCCGTGCTTCTCCTCTCTGTGGCTTCATCTTCATCACCGTCTCATCGCCGTGCTTCTCCTCTCTGTGGCTTCATCTTCATCACCGTCTCATCGCCGTGCTTCTCCTCTCTGTGGCTTCATCGTCATCACCGTCTCCATCCCCCGCACCTGGTACAGCTCTCTTACCTCCCTCCCTCCTCCTCTTCCCCCTCGCCCCTTTCCCTCACCCAACCACGAGGCGCATTGGACATGTTCAGCGTGAAAGCAAGCCCACCTCACTGCTGATCTTATTTTCAACTCAAAGACAGTAAATTTGAATAACTCACTGCTTGCTATTATTCACTTGTGGGTCTGCTTGTGGGTATCCTTCAAAAACTCTGAGGCGGGTTGGACCCTTGGCTATTGTCGGCCTTTGGCACGCACATCCCTTCTCCTGCCTGCCTGCTGCCCCACCTTCTCCGAGCCTTCCCCGAGCCTTCTCCGAGCCTTGTCCTGGTCTTGTCCTGGTCTTGTCCTGGTCTTGTCCTGGTCTTGTCCTGGTCTTGTCCTTGTCTGAGCTCATGGTGTTTCTTTCCTCCTGGGACGCGTGGGCTAAGCTCATCACCTTTGTGTGCAACGTGAGTCAGATCTTGCTGCAGTCCTGGAAGCAGCTCAAGGTCGCCGAGCTCGAGGGCGACTTCTTGAACCCGACTGACTTTGCGCGAGACATGAACAGAATCTATCCGATGGAGCTCATGGTGCTGGGGGCAAGCATGCTGTGGCTGATGTTGGACTGGCAGTGGGTGCTGCTGCTGCTCAACGTTCCCTACCTCGCATACCAGCTGTCAAACTACACGGCCGGCAAGTGGCGAGTGGATGCTTCTCGAGTGTTCCATGCGGATTTTAAGTCAAGCATCAAGAAATCAATCTTGCTTGGCATCTTCTACCATGCCGCCTGGTTCGTAGTCTACCTGACGATGCTCATCTTGTCGATTATCAACGCCAGCAAGATGAAGGCAAAGTGAGGTTTGAGGTCAGCGGTGACTTTTTAGAGTTCTCCTTCCCTTCTCATCTAATTTTAATTCGAATCAAACAAGCACCTGACTGCATGCACCTCTTTCAACTGCAACGTTGTCGAGTGACATCATGAGCGGCAGCACAACATGCTCAGTCATGTCAGGCAGTGTCCGTAGATGACGATTGTCTTTCTTGCTCGCGCTTGCTTGTGAAGTCATCGCGGAAGCTGACAATCTGTTGCGCGTCTGCATGAACAGATTAGGAAGAAGTAGAGGAAACAGAACAGAGTCTCGCTTGTGCCCTCTTCCCTCTTATTTCTCTTGCGCACTCCTTACCTATCCGTAACAGTCTGCGCATGTCTTCCATCTTGGCGTCCAGTAATTGTTCCTTCCTTTCCAAACACTCGATCGTTTGTTGGTTCGATGTAGCAGCCAGCCATGGTTTAGCAGCGGGCGACGAGTCTCGAAGCTCTTGCGTAATCTTCTTGGCTGAGTCCTGCATCTCCTGGATGAGCGAGGAGGCAAGGGGCTTCCCTGCTTGCCGTCGGTCACTTACGAAACCACCTGAACTGCTGCTCTTGATGTCTCTCCCCCCACTTTCCCGCGTCCCCCTCTCACTTGTTCTCTCTCTCCCCTTCTCCCTTCCTTGTTTCATTCCACGAAGTTTGAAGTCAGTCCTAGAGCAGTCCACCTCAACTACTGAACCAAACAGCTTGTAATAAAATTCTCGTATCCCTCTCCTCATTCGCTGCCGATAGCTTCTTCGTCTCGATGTCCCGATTGAGCCATAGCTTATCCCCCCCCCACCCTTGCCGCTCGAAGTTTTCTTGCTCAAGCTGCGACAGGTGCAGAGACATCAGTGTTACCAGAGACCAGCTCGCAACTCACTTGAACACAAGGATGATCGTCCCAATAAGCACGATCCTGCCCACGAATTCACTTCTCCCACTACTTCGACTGAGCTGCAACATGAGACTCTGTCATCACACGTGCATGATCCGTTAGCAGCAAGATCCGAACCTTGAATAGAAGGTACAAGACCCCGACTCCCACTATGGTCCATATCTTTCTCGTTCGATCATGGAGGGAATCCAGAGACCTGGTAGCTCAGCTTGAGCTGGTCATTGACATGTCGACAATCACCTGCTGCTCTCCTCCAACATCTTGCGCCATCGTCGCCGCCCCTCTTCCGACGCTTTCATCCTACCAGGTCCTCGCGTTTCCCAGCCATGTCGATGCGGGCAATGGTGGGGACGAGGGGACCAGTGGATGAGGGGACGAGGGCCAATCTTGAGGGGACGAGGGCCAATCCTGAGGGCACGTGAAGACAAATTCGTAAAATGGTGAGGGAGAGGGAGAGGGAGAGGGAGAGGGAGAGGGGGAGGGGGAGGGATGAATAGATAGATAGATAGATAGATAGATGCATGGAGGAGAGGCAGCGTAGAGATTCTATTCTTGCTCCTCTGACATCAATTTAACAGTCTAGAGCTCATCAGGCGCGAAAGGTTAAGGGCAAGGAAGCCAATAATGACGTTGAAGGAGGGGAGGGACAAAACAGGCAGGATGATGATGAGGCATTCACCAAGAGGTTGCAGAAAGAGCTCTCAGCCAAAGTGAAAGATGAGCTGAAGAAAGATTGCATCGCACTTGGCATCACATCTTCGGGGCTCAAAGCTGATCTAGTTGCTCGCATTGTTGAGTTTCAGGTGAAATCAAGACAAGCGCAAACGCAGGGGCAAGCGCGAGAGGAGGAGGCAGAGGCAGATGCAGCATCGCAAGCAAAGCAAGACAGAGACGCCGACACACCAGCAGGTAGCAGGAATGCTGAAGGCATCGAGAAGGAGAAGATACATACAACACCTCGAGTCCTTCCCAGCAAAGTCGAGAGCAGTGCAGCCTCACAGCACGAGGAAGACACCAAGTCAGAGTCATCGGAGGCAGAGAAGAGCGGGGAGGATGCGGAGGACACGAAGCTCGAGGACTCGGTCAGTTGCCCATGAAACGATTAGATGCCTGATTGCTTGCTGTAGAACATCTTTTCGGGGCTATCGCTCTTCAGCAAGAAAGCAATCAAGGCTGGAGACAGGCAGGCAGGAGGAGAGAGGAAGACTCTAGGGTCTCTCCTCAAGAAGAATCTAGCGGGGCTGTTAGGCGACAAGGTGCTGCTGTAGCACTTGCTATGAGAGTCTGAGAGGGTGAAGGAGAAGAAGAAGAAGCGACAGCTGGCAACGAGCCTCTCAACCCACCTGGTCTGACTTGCCTTGCGCCTTGCTGGCCTTATGCAGCGTTTGCAGGGAGGGAACGTGAGCAGCAGGAGAGGCGAAGAGTGAGAGCAGCCGTTGCGAGGGCTGGCGACCTCACGCTTCCTGCAGCCTCGCGGAGACATTGACAAGCAAGAGCAAGCTGATAGGAATCGACAAGAAGTTGACGGTAAGCCACGCTGAGAGAGAATGATGCTGATGAGAGGGAGTGATGCTGATGAGTCCGCAGGTGGAGAAGGAGCGAATGCGAGAAAAAAACAGACCTGACGCTGAGACGAAGCGAGAAAAAGATTGGTTCGGTGAGAGAGGAGAGAATGAACTAGACAGAGGGGCGCGTGGAGGAAAGGGAAGGAGGAGAGAGTCTGAGGTGTCGGAAGGAGAGGAAGCGAGTGAGAGTGAGAATAAGTTGAGCTGCTTGCAGGCATGAAGAATTCTCCTCTTGATCGAGATGCCAAGTATACCATCGCGCTCATTGCCAACAGGTTTGTTGCTTTGCACTGCTGCTCGCGCATGCCATCGACGTCTTGTCTCTTCTAAGCTCAAACACCCCAGGCATGCCATCGACCCCAAGCGCCACTACCGCAAAGAAGAAAGAAAACCTCAAAACACGCCCAAGTTGTTCCAGGTGTGGAGACGAGAGGAAGAGCAAGAGAGAAGGAAGTCAGAAAACAAGGAGAGAAAGCAAGAAGAGGCCACCAGAGGAGAATTCATGATTTGATTTGATTTGATTTGATTTGATTTGATTTGTTGCTGCAGGTTGGAACCGTGATGAGCACCTCTGCTGAGTTCTACTCGTCGAGGCTAAAGAGGAAAGAGCAAAGGTGTCCTGCCGCTGCTTGTGCTGCTGCTCTCCCTCCCCCATCCATCTTCTCGCTTCCTGTCTTCAGGCATCGAAGAGCAACTCAACCTCTGCCAGGCCCAATCTAGCGGAGGAGATTCTGAGCGACGAGCGCCTCAACCCGTACTTGAAGCGGAAGGTGAAGACGAGGAGGAGGGAGGAGGTGCGAGGCTGACCCTTGCTAGTTTTCGGAGCTGCAGCAAGACTTCAAGCAGAAGGGAAGGAAAGCTCTCAAGAAGCAGCAGGGCCAGAAGACGCCCAAGTGGAAGAAGCAAGGTAAGCAGAAGCTTTTCTTGCTGCCCCTTCTGCCCTTACTGTCCGCCAGCAGGCGTCAAGCGGAGCAAGAAAAGCAGATAGAAGAGACTAGCAGATAGAAAAGGAGGGCACGACATGTACAGCCCTGTTTCTCGTAACTAAAGCTTTTACTTCAAGCCCCTAGCAGACTCGTCACTCAGTTTGTTGAGCACAATCTCTCATCATTTCTCCATCTTCCTGCTCTCTTCATCTTCCATTGTTGTCATCTCCCTCCTCCTTCTCAAACCTTTCTTGTCCATCAACGTGGTCATGATCAAAGCGTTGTCTCCACCACCTCTCGTCCTCGTAACGTCTGTCACTTCACTTCTGATTGTTTTCATCCCTCACTTGTTTGACGGTTCACCTTGTGAGCTTTCTCTACCTCATCATGCTCCTTCCCTCTCTTCCTTCCTCCTCCTCCTCCTCCTTCACCCCCCATCCCCCAATATTTCCCCGTCTCAGAGTTCAGCTTTAGGGTTCCCTTTTACTGGTAGGGCCTGGAATCCCTTCTGCCCTCCCCCGCTACTTCTCCCCCCCTCCTTCCCTCCTGCTCTCCCCCCCCCCCTCTTCCCCTCCTGCTTCCCCACCGTCCCCCCCTCCCTTCCTGCTCTTCTCTTTCGCCTTGCTGATCCTCCTGCGTCTGCCCAGTCCCCTCTCGTCCCTCCTGCCCCGCATGGTGGGAGACTGAGCCGCCTTCGCTCGGCATGAAGGGAGCAAGCAGAGAGCGCGAGGCAACGCATGCACCATCGGTCGCCTCGATCCACGCGAGAGTGCCTGATGTGCGACTTCTGGAGGAGACCAGCATTGACGACGATGATCGATCAAGCCAAGCTTCGCCATCGCATAGCGTGAGAGCGTTTCTTCGTGTCTGTCTTTGTCTGTGTCTGTGCTTGTCATCTCACACTGAGAGGACGAGCTTGACATCTTGACTGGTTGCAGCATTCTACAAGAGATTCTCCTCGTCAGGCTGTCAACATTCTCATCGACGCTCAAGACTTCGGCTCATCTCCTTTCAAGCTTCACTTTGACTTCTCAGACGACCAAGTCCAGCAAGACAAGTCCGCTCCTGCTCCTGCTCCTGCTCCTGCTCCCGCTCCCGCTCCTGCTCCTGCGCCTGCGCCTGCGCCTGCGCCTGCTCCCGCTCCCGCTCCTGCTCCTGCTCCTGCTCCTGCTCCTGCTCCTGCTCCTGCTCCTGCTCCTGCTCCTGCTCCTGCTCCTGCTCCTATCGCTGCCTCTGCCCCTGCCCCTGCCTCGCTGCTCCTATCGCTGCCTCAGCTCCCGCGCCTGCTATGCTCCTGCTGCTTCATTTCTTCCTGCTGCTTCCTCTCACTCATCTCGACCAGAAAGCCTCAGCAGCTCACAAGGAAGCCAATGAGCTCATTGGACTTGGTAAACAGACGATGATGATCTTAGAGCGACCTGATACACATTTACAAAGATGAGCATGTGATGCTGCTGTGATGATTATGATGATGATGATGATGATGATGATGATGATGATGATGATGATGATGATGATGATGATGATGATGATGATGATGATGATGATGATGATGATGATGATGATGATGATGATGATGATGATGATGATGCTGGTGACGTTGAAGAAGATGGTGCTGATGATGATTTGCTGATTTTAGACGCGCACAACGTTCTCAAGCTTTAACGAGGAGGAAGACTCGTATAGGTACGGCAGCAGCCATCCACTCAGGCGTCTCAAGGGAGGCAGGTGGTACAGAAGGTCAGGGTGGAGGACGCAGCGCCTGAAGCTCTTCAACATGCCCATGAATCCGATGAACTCCTCTTACGCCAGGCTGGCAGAGCATGTGTGGAGCAAGGTGAGGACGGGACGGCAGGTTGTCAGGCTCTTACGCGCTGTGCCAGGCTTCGAGCCACGTGTCGTTGCATGCCGGCGACTACCTGCTGGACAAGGTGAGTGCTGAGAGAGATGCTATGAGTGATGAAGGTGCCAGGAACGCCTCAAGAGAGTTGACAGCAGTCCTCTTGCACGATCAAGGATCAGAAGAAGTGACGTGTTTTCTTCCTCTTCCTCCCTCACGTGCTTCAGGCGAGGCTTCTCATCCTGCTCGGCCCTCGTCACGGTGAGTCTGCAGGGCTTGTGGCGAAGGTGACAGGTCTGGAGTAGGACGACAGCAAAGGTCAGGGACAATGTCAAACCTGCTGCGGCAAAAGAATCGACAAGCCAGGTAAGTGAACCCGCTTCCTTTGTGGTGGGTAGTGTACTCCTCCTCCTCCTCCTCCTCCTCCTGCAACTTGTTGCAGATCTCCCTGTAGCTTTTGGAGGTGCTGGGGTCGTTCACTCGTGAGAACCTTCAGGAGTGGATGCGCGAGGAGTTGAAGGCGATTCTACTTGAGCATCCGAGAGGAGGAGGCGCGTGGAGGATGAGAGTGGAGGAGCGCGCGACCCCTCAAGGGTCTGCTGATAGGAGGAAGAAGTAAAAGAGCCACCCCTCCTCACTTAAATTGTTCCTGAATAGCGTATGCCTTCGTTCCCTGCATCTCCTCCTCCTCGTCTGTCTGTCTGTCTGTCTGTCTGTCTGTCTGTCTGTCTGTCTGTCTGTCTGTCTGTCTGTCTGTCTGTCTGTCTGTCTGTCTGTCTGTCTGTCTGTCTGTCTGTCTGTCTGTCTGTCTGTCTGTCTGTCTCGTCTCG